GGGTGGGTTCAAAACTGGCCTGGGCCAGCTAAAACAATGACAACTACAACAAAAAAATAGCCGGGCATTGTGGCAGGCACCTATAGTCCCAGCTACTTGGGAGGCTGAGGCTAGAGAACCTCTTACGCCCAAGAGTTTGAAGTTGCTATGATCTGTGATGCCAAAGCACTCCACCGAGGGCAACATAGTAAGACTCTGCCTCAAAAAATAAAATTAGTTCTTATTATCACACTTTACTTACCTTCCGAAATCCAATGTACACTAAATATTAATAAATGTCCCATTAAATTATACAGTCTGATTTCCCTTTGTTTTGTTAATATAAATCTCTAAAGTCTATTTCCTTTAATACCTGCATCCCAATTTTTAAGGTAGAGTATCACTATATTTACTTTATTTTCAAGTATACTATTATATGCACAGTTATATCTACAGCCTGCTATAGTTTACAATACTATAAAATACATTGTCAAGTTTAAATTCACAACCATATAGGCAGTCCTGAGTCACAAACAAGATAGATTTTATAGATTTGTTCTTAAGTTGAATTTATAAATAAGTTGGAATGGCTACATTTACCTATTACCTATAAAAGCCTCCATTCATATGTGTGAGTCATACACCAGTCAGTTTGTAACTTGGGAATTTACTATAATAGCCTCCATTTGTACGTAAGTCAGATGTGTATAACCTGGGGACTGCCTGTATGTCTATTTTCAGACAGCAGATCCAGGAATCAAACCCAGATTTTCTGATGCTAGCTCTTGAGCTCTATTAAGTTCTGCTAACTTTAAATACCCAAACTGACTCAGGTATTAAGAAAGTATTTACATGCATTAAAAAAAAAAAGTCAGAAATGAATCTTTTCTTAGATGTTTTCATCATTTGCTTTTTCACACTTTTATGTGTAAGTGAACATGGTATATCAAATTTTTTGTTAATTATCTTAATGATTTTCCAAATGTGAATGGGTATAAATACATGCATAAAATAAAAGTTGCTGTGTCCAAGCAGAACCTCACTTTTTATAAGAGTTTGATGAATTAGAAACAAATATATATATTTAGAATTTCTATTTATTTGTCCCTAGGTATGCTAAATTTAGCTTCTTTAATTTATAACAAAATACAGTAGTAAGCATGTAAATTTTATATTGTATAGCTAGAAAATTTTCTTTTTTTTTTT